CTTTAGAGTGGTAGGAACCACACCATCAGGGCCCCGGGGCTTTTCATGTGTTAAGAGACCTGAACTGCTTGTTTACAGCTGCTTCATGAATGTGTAGGTTTGTGATGAAGGTGTGTGAAGACCTCATGAGTGGGGAGTGAGGGGGAGGGTGATGAAGGTAAATTCCAACATTTTCAGAGAATTGCTGCTGCATTTTGTCATGATGCTGGTGTTTTGCTTTGACCAATTCTTTGCTGAACCTGTATTTAGTGTCTCTGTAGGAGTCCCCCCCCCCCTCCCCCTTTTAATTGCATCTCACTTTTCAAACCACAGCTGTTTGAGTTTAGGGGTAAACCAGGCTTTGTCATTATTATATCTCACCCTGGTGTGTGATGGTATAATGCTGTCCTGACAGAAGTGGATGTAGGAGGTGACGGTATCTGTCAACTCATCTAAAGTGTCTGAGGTGGCCTTTATTACCTCCCAGTCTGTGGTCTCAAAGCATGAGCGAAGCTCATCTGCAGCATCAGTGTTCCACTGTCTTGTTGACTTCACAACAGGCTTGGAGAGTTTTAGCCTTTGTTTGTAAGCTGGGATCAGATGGATGGTCAAGTGATCAGAGTCCAAGCGCAGCGCGCGCCACTGCATGACAGGTTCCTGTTACTGTGCTGTAACAGTGATCCAGGGTTTTCTCCTCTCTGGTAGTCACGGAGTTCTTTGGTTTCGTGAAGACATTTTGCTTCTCATCTGAGGAGCTTTGTTGTGTCTAAGTGGAATATGAGAGAGTCAATCTTATACGCTGTACATGTCTTATTCTTCAACGAGGTGAAGACTGCAGTTCACCTACACCTGAAGGACAAGGGACACTCCTGATAAAGCATATATTCTGGACAGAGAAGATATATGGTTTGACGGAGGAGTAAAATAAGCTATCTATGCCAAATATGGGGAAAAAAAACTTTAACTAGAAATGGGGGGCTTCGATTTCACCTTTCCAGTACCTATAATGTAGCTGAGCTGATAATAAGCGCTGGGTAGCGTACGTCACACACAACAATGCTGAGTTTGTCATAAATATGGCGACTGAAGTGGAGTTCGCTGTGGCTCTTTCCTCTGTTCTAAATGATGGTGAGGATGGACTCTATAGTGGTGTAGAACTGCCTCATTGACTGTTGTGATGGGTTGAATTTCTTCAGCTGCCTCAGGAAGTACATCCTCTGCTGGGCCTTTTTTCCTGATGATGGTGATGGTGGGCTCCCATTTGAGGTCATGGGTGATGGTGGGGCCAGCTGGGGCCAGCTTTTCAGCACAGTGCTTTAGAGTGGCAGGAACCACACCATCAGGGCCCCAGGGCTTTTCATGTGTTAAGAGACCTGAACTGCTTGTTTACATCTGCTTAATGAATGTGTAGGTTTGTGATGGAGGTGTGTGATGTGAAGACCTCATGGGTGGGGAGTGAGGGGGAGGGTGATGAAGGTAAATTCCACAGTGATGGTGATGGCTCTGTAGTGAGGAGTGGCTGACCAATGTCTCTATTGTTGGGGCTGGACGAGGAGTGAGGCCTGCCTGATGGCACATCAAACCGACAATAGAAATTGTTTAGGTTTTTTTGCCAAGAGCAGATTATCGGTGGAGGTGGGGGTTCTGGGTTTGTTGTTGGTGATGTTCCTGAAACTTTTCCACACAGAGGTTGGGTCATTTTCAGAGATTTGCTGCTGCATTTTGTCATGATGCTGGTGTTTTGCTTTGACCAATTCTTTGCTGAACCTGTATTTAGTGTCTCTGTAGGAGTCCTTGTCCCCCCTTTTGAATGCATCTCTCTTTTCTAGCCACAGCTGTTTGAGTTTAGGGGTAAACCAGGCTTTGTCATTGTTATAACTCACCCTGGTGTGTGATGGTATAATACTGTCCTGACAGAAGTGGATGTAGGAGGTGACGGTATCTGTGAACTCATCTAAACTGTCTGAGGTGGCCTTTATTACCTCCCAGTCTGTGGTCTCAAAACATGGGCGAAGCTCATCTGCAGCATCAGTGTTCCACTGTCTTGTTGACTTCACAACAAGCTTGGAGAGTTTTAGCCTTTGTTTGTAAGCTGGGATCAGATGGATGGTCAAGTGAACAGAGTCTAAGCACAGCGCGCACCACTGCATGACAGGTTCCCGTTACTGTGCTGTAACAGTGGTCCAGGGTTTTCTCCTCTCTGGTTGGACATTCGATATACTGTTTATATTTGGGAAGCTCCTGGCTCAGACTTGCTTTGTTAAAATCTCCAAGTAAAATGATGAGGGAGTCCGGGTACGTCTGCTCCATACACAGTATCTCTTCAGCGATTGCACGCTGAGCCTTGTGCACGTCCGTGTCAGGTGGGATGTAAACAGCGCCTAGAATGAATGAGGCGAATTCCTGCGGAGAGTAAAATGGTTTTCAGTTTGTGAAAAGATATTCCAGAGATGGAGAACAATGCTGCACGATCACTGTGACATCTGTGCACCAACCAATATTCATGCAAAAACACACACCTCCACCTGTGGTCTTGCTGGTGAGAGTCGCTTTGCGATCGGCGTGGATGAGGTGAAACCCCTCCAGCTGGAGCGCGCAGTCGGGGGTGTCCTCACTGAGCCATGTTTCAATGAAGCACAGAACCCCAGATGAGGAGAAGTCCCTGTTTATGTTCCTCATCAGGGTCAGCTCGTCCATTTTGTTGCGGAGTGAGTGCACATTAGAGAGGAAGATCCCAGGTAGAGCCGAGCGCAGTCCCCGTCTCCTCAGACGCACTAGAACGCCCGCTCATTTATCTCTCCTCCTGCGTCTCACTTTCCTGATCAAAGTTGATATTGAATCGGCCACAGATGCAACAAAAAAAGAAGCAAGAAAAACAGTGCACCAAATTACGAAGGCAGTCATCTGCGGCACCATTTTGAATCCCTCACAATAGAGGCTAGCGACTCATCAGGTGATGGAGAGCCTAGGAACCCACAGTAGTTTGGGATCGTTGAATAACAATAAACAGCTACAGCTTATAGGCTTGACTCTCCCATATTCCAGTTTGAAGTGATGGATGAGAAGAGAAATGTCTTCAAGAAACCAAAGAAGTCCAGTTGTCTTCATTTGAACAACTTCAAATATAAATACATACAAAGAAATACTAATGACCAATAACAAGACAGGTCTTTATTGCTTAATAGGTATTCTGTCCATTAAGTAGAAGATATACATTCCCTCAGGTTTCTATATCATCTATTTAATAGAATAAATACATGATATTACATTAGTGTGTAATGTATTTGATTAGTGATAATGCATAGTGCTGAATTTATGGTATTTTTTTTCCATTTGTAGATGCCTCGTGGCAAAGGGTACCGTAAAGCTCAGGCCTTGAAGAGCAGACAGTTTATGCCGAAGCCTGTGGAGGAGCTGTTCGAGGTTGTGCCAAGCTGTACGGCTTTTACTCCACGTAAGTTACATATTTAGTTATTTTCCAAAACATCAAATGTTTTTTTGAAAGTCTTTGTTGCATATTTTGAAACTGACATGGTGTATGCATACTGACAAAATTCAGATAAATTAATATGACCCACTTTACAATTACATATTTACATAACATTGATATTGTGTTAATTTATTTTTTATCTTTCCATTAGGTCACGGAACAGGCTTCAGGCACAGGGTTTGTCGTTGGCCCTTGTCGCCTAACACAGGCAAAAGCTTGAAGGTTGTCATCCCACCAGAGTCTTCAGACAAGAAGGTACATTTAGCTATTAATTTATATTAATATTAAAGAATATTATGTGCTTATAGGTTCACACACAGATTGCTATGCATTCTTTAGTTTCTAAAGTGCTTTGCGATTTTTATCTTCAGAGGTCCTTCATTAAACAATTGTTTCTTCTTCTAGTTTGTTTTCGTCATTGGAGATTCACATCTTCGAGCCATTGTGGATGGCTATGTGAAGGTGCCTGAGGGAAAGCTGTCCTTTGGCTACCTGTCGGTTCCTGGTGGTACAGCAGCCCACCTTACCACTGAGGTCCGCCAGTTAGTTCTCCCACGTGTTCCAGATGTTGTGTGTCTGCTCGCTCCAAGCAACAACCTGGACAGTCCAATTTCTGAAGCAGAAAAAGACTTCAAGCGTCTTTTGAACACCATTTCCACTCTTTGTCAAAATGTAAGGATAGACGTAATTACAAATAATGTGCCATTAGAAAAGCAATTACTGAATCAAATTTATATTCTGGTGCTTTCTTCTAGAATGCTTTTTAATGACATGTAAAATTTGTGGAAAACAGGTCTTTGTTTTGGATTTCCCTCCAAGACTGAGCCATGACACAGTTGTGCAGGACCATCTGAGGATGATGTTTCATAGAGTCTCAGTACAAATGGGTATGTTGAATTTTAGTGTGGAATATACAAAATGCTTCTAACTGGAAAAACTAATTGTTAACGAAATATATTTCTTTCAGATGTCCCATACTCATCAATTGCTGAGAACTTCCCCTTTCATCGCCTGGATTTGTGGGGCAGAGATGGGGTAAGTGAGAAGCTTACTGAATTTTAATGATTAAGAGGTATTAGCTTTAGCTAAAAATGTGTTATTTTCTATAGGTTCATCTCAGTGACAGTGATGGTATGGACATTTTTGCACAATTGCTCTGGCAAAAAACATACCTGCACCTCCAAAGTCAGAAGGTCCAGGTTACCTCCAAGAAGTCTGCTGCTAGAGTGGTCGTTGAAGATGCAAAGGCCATTCAACCCCAAGCAGAACAATCTAAGTGGAGAGTTGTTTTGCCTGGCAAGAAGGTAAATTGTTTTTTCTATGTTTTTATTTCAACTGCAGACATTAATTGGCTGTTTAGATTTTCAACAATCATGTAATATAAAAATGTCATTAATTTTTTCAGAGGTCTACTCCAGCTGGTCCAAAGGAGCAGAGATCATCTTCAAAGAGAATTCTTCTTCATGAGGTAAATGATTAATTTTAACTCTTTGATGAATTAGATCATTCTTTTTTTTATTTGATGTTCGCCATGTTGATTGATATGGGTTTTTCTAATATTTTCTACATCACAATGTTCAGGCCGAAGTCTGCTTTGAGGTGAATCCTAAATATTTCCATGAAGATCTGCTGCATGTCTTGGAAAAAGACAGTACTGGAAGTCCAGATGTGCTTTCACCAGATGTCCAACACAAAAAGGTAAATATGAAGAAATATGTTTTTTCATTGAAGCGTTTTGATATGAATCTTTAATTCATTATTAATTTGAGATATTTGTCACCTAAGAATTTGCAATATGTTCATATTTTGATGACAGGTGGTACAACCTGAAGGAAAGCCAGTGTCCTCTGGAAAAGACAAAAGTGTTGTCAACATGCAGGTTTGTCTTTTTTATCATTTTTTTTTCTATTTGTTGGTCAAGCCCTCCTGTAAAACATGCACAAAGTAATTACATGTATTGTATACTGTTTTTATTTCAGGGACAGGCAACAATGATCCAGAAACCTCCTGCCACTACAACAGCACCAATAAAGGAGCAAGTGATCATGCCCTCTGATGATCATGAATGGCCAACACTTGCAGAGAGTTTAAAGGTAATTAAGATTTACACTCACAATGCTTTTACAATATAAAGTAGTAATATTGCTTAAGAGATACACATTTCTACAATAATGGAAAAATTAACATAAAACCTTGAATGACATTTTCTTTCAGACATCTCACATTCATCCTAAAGGCTCACGTGGCACACTGATGTCTCGTCATCAGGTGAATAAACTCTCATTCAAAGAAACCAAATCAGTTTTGTTGCCTTTATTTGAAACCTTTGGACTACAATGACTCCTTTCATTTACTTACAGAAGTACCTGAAGGACTGCAGTGTGGTCCTTCAAAAGCTGAAATTGAAAACTGATGACGCCAGTGTGCCATCACCAGCTCCCAATGGCAAAACGGTGAGATCTATGACTTTTTTTCATTGAATGATGCTCATTCTAAAGTTTTTACTCAAATACTTATATTATTTGCTTATTTGAATAAACCTTTTCATTTTAAAAGTATGCAGCTGCTGTCCAAGACCGAAGATCGGTTTCACACACAGATGTCACCAAGGACCAGGTCTGACATCGGATTTTAATATGATTGTTGTTATTGACATCATATCATGTGCTTAACAAATAATTTTAAATTTCACAATAATAGAATATATTGTAAATATCCTGATGTGATTTCCAACAGCTTTGCTGTCACTCCCAGGAGCATTTGAAAGACTGCTCTGAGGTTCTACACCATCTCCAGATGAACGACAAATACAGTGTTCCATCGCCTGTACCAAAAGACAAAACGGTAGGACCTATGACATTCTGATTATTGATGTTTAATAGCATACTTAATCCTACACATATTCTTTCCACTACATATATTTCCTACATGTTATAAAACTTTTTTATTTTAACAGAATGCAGATGATCTCAAAGACCAAGGACCTGTTGACCTAGGAGATGCTACAAAGCAACAGGTTAGATATTTTCCCCTAGTGAAAACATGCCCATTTTATTCATAGATTTTCTTCTAATTTTTGAGTCTTTATGTTTTCACAGGAATGTAAGGAGACGAGTGTTCAACCTGAGAAGTTCCATGATGCTCCTGGTGCTGCAGCTTCAAGTGCTACCATTGCATCTTCCTCATCAAATCAGGAAAGTTTGAACACTTTTCATTCTATTGTCAAAGGTTCATTTCATCAAGGCCATAAGCGTTTTGGGTGCAACCGATTTAAACAGTGTGCACCAAACAGCATTACAGCCATCATGACAAACACTGTCAAAATGGCTTCCACATGGTCAAGAAAAGACATTAACAATATCTTGATAAGTGGTGATAGTTTATACACTTACATGAAAGAGCAAAACATGATCAGTGATGCAGAAGGCAGTGGTTATGTTTTTGTTCAAGAATTACCCACAGAGCACACATTCCATCATCACAAGTTCTCTTTGGAATACATGCAGACCTTCACAGGACATCTTCATCAGCAGATTTACCATGAAGATGTTTCAGATTTTGCCATGCCTTTGGACGTTGCATTACAGAGAGCTATATTTGACAATGACGGCTGTCTGTTTACAATTAGTAGAAACACATGTGCGGTTTTGAAAGAACAATCTCAGTTTTCTGTTTTTGATCCACATTCACGTGGTCATGATGGTCTCTGGCAGTTGAATGGCACAAGCATAGTAGCACACTTTGATACTTTAGACCAAGTTTATACGCATTTAATCAATCTCTCTCACTCTTTGTGTGCTGACAATGCAAATGAAGAGGACACAGCTTTTGAAATGACCGGTGTTAAGGTGACTGCTCAATCTATGAGTAAACCTATCCAAAGGAAAACTGCTTCTTGCCAAAATGATGTAGAGTTAATCAGTGGAAATGATGATAGTTTTGATGACGATACATTTGATCAGTTAGTACTTGAAGAGATTGAACATGTTGCAGTTAGTGACACATCTGAGTCTCTTTTTGAATCTCCATCTCGTTGTGAGCTCATCCATATGCAAAATAGATCTTTTCAAGATGATGCAGAGTCAATATGTACTAGTTTTGATGATGATAGTTTTGATAAAGTAGTACTTCAGGAAATAGACGAAATTGCAGTTAATGACACCACTTCCCTTGATGTAGACTCAGTAACTGAAAATCATCACACTTCTTTGGATCAAGCAATAATTGAAGAAGTACCACAAAATGATACATCTGTTTTCATAGTTTCAGAAAATATCAACAGCACTGTTACTTTCAATCCTCTGACTTCTAAAGACAAAAGAAACTTTTGCTCCCAACTACAGATAGTTCCAAGTTTAGAAAGGGTGAAAAGTCTTTGGGAAAGTATAACATTAGATGAACCGTTACCTTGTACCACTATACACATCCAGCCAGACGGCAACTGCTTTTTCCGTGCTCTTGCATTTGTAATTACTGGGAATGAAGAGTTGCATAGGTCGATTCGCAGGGCTGTTGTTAATCAAATTCTTCAAAATTCTGACCTCTATTCAAGTTACATCAGACAGGAATTTGAATCAGTACAGCAGTATGTTACACAAACAGGAATAAGGAAAGTTGGATCCTGGGCTACAGAGATTGAGATACAAGCAGCTGCAGACTTTTTTCACACCCATATTTACACTTACACTCAAGGAAAATGGTTACAATATGGCTCTTCTAGTACTTTAGACAACACCAAGGGTATTTATCTGAAACACTGTAATGAATGTCATTATGAGCCAATCGCATGTGTAAAAGCTAAAACTAACACATGTTTTAACCTAATCTCATGTAGTTACTGTCACTTTAAAGGTGATAAGGACATACTATCTCCATCTAAGATAAGCAGAGAGAACAGGAGAAAGAGAACTCTGTATAATGAAGACATTGAGAAAAGGGAAAGCAAAATATTCATGTTACAGAAATTGTATAAGGACAATCCTAAGTACAGATTACACAAGAAGCAATTAAGTGTCATTACATATAGAAATAAGCCAGACCTGAGAGCTAGACTCAGACATGACAGTAAAGAAAACTACAGAAACAAACCTGAACTGAGAGCTAGACTCAGACTTGCTAATAAACAAAACTACTACAAAAAGCCTGAACTGAGAGCAAGACTCAGACATGACAGTAAAGAAAACTACAGAAACAAACCTGAACTAAGAGCTAGACTCAGACTTGCTAATAAACAAAACTACTACAAAAAGCCTGAACTGAGAGCAAGACTCAGACATGACAGTAAAGAAAACTACAGAAACAAACCTGAACTGAGAGCTAGACTCAGACTTGCTAATAAACAAAACTACTACAAAAAGCCTGAACTGAGAGCAAGACTCAGACATGACAGTAAAGAAAACTACAGAAACAAACCTGAACTAAGAGCTAGACTCAGACTTGCTAATAAACAAAACTACAACGATAAGCCTGAACTGAAAGCAAGACTCAAACTTGCCAGCAAAACCACTTATGCAACCAAAAGTAGACACTCTAAGCTTCAGTTATTGAAACAGAACGTGGAAAGATATAGAAATAAGATTGACCACCGTAACCGCATCAAACAGTCTAATTCTGAACGGTATAGAAATGTAACTGCTTATGCCGATTCTGTTAAGGAGCACGGAAAACGTAGACGGCAAAATCTCATGACTAGAAAAAAGTTCATAGACAATGTCATTCAGCTTTTTAGAGAAAAGGTTAAATTTGGCCCTCAATTAGTCTGTTGTGTTTGTCATCGGTTACTTTTTAAACATCAAGTTCTTGAATGTAAAACACAGCAGTATGAAATTAGAGGTTCATTCATTTCATCTGTGGCAAAAAAATGCATCACTGACACTTATTTACACAAGTGTGGACAGTCTTCAGATTCCAAATGCCATCTAGAGGTTAGCCCTGCATGTAAATTGTGGGTCTGTTTTACTTGTCACCGTAAAATGCTCAATGGAAAAGTCCCTGAAGAAAGTGTTGCAAACAATATGCACCTAGATTCTATTCCTGTTGAACTTAGTACGTTGAATCCTCTTGAGCAACATCTAGTGGCACAGCACATTCCGTTTATGAAACTTTTAGCCTTACCAAAGGGAGGACAAAATGGTGTCCATGGACCTGTGACTTGTGTTCCATCTAATACAGAAACTGTGAGTAACATTCTACCCAGATTAGATGATCAGAATCTAATGATTAAAGTCAAACTGAAGCGAAAGCTGACATACAAGGGTCACTATGACTATCAGTATGTCAACGCTCTGAAAGTACATAATGCAATTGCATACCTTAAATCTCACAATACTTTTTACAAAGATGTACAATTTAACAGTGCATGGACAAATCCCCTAGAAAAAGAGTCTGAAGACTCTATCTCTGAAACTGACAACGTCACTTTGGAAGAAGACGGCAATAGAGCTGAAATAGAGTGTGAACATCTTGGCAAAAGAGATGGCAGTGGCACAGAGGTAGAGTCTGAAGATCTTGTTAGCGATGATCATTTTAATGATAGACAACAGCATGGGATGTTTTTGGACACATGTATGCAACCAGTAGACATTGCCCAAGAAATACTAGACAACCATTTTGACAGTGTTTTATCAGTAGCACCAGCTGAGGGAAATACTCCAGTCAGATTGCTTACCGATACTTCTAATGAGGCTAAATGCTTTCCAGTTCTGTTTCCCAATGGAACAGGTACATTTCATGATGCAAGAGAGCAAAGGATTACACTCAGCAAATATTTAAACACCCGAATTCTCAATGCTGATGGCAGATTTGGCAAGAACTTGGATTATATCTTTTATGCACAATATTTGTCAGAAGTTAATCAAGTTGTATCAAATGTTTCCATTGCACTGAGAAAGGGCTACCATGGCTTAGACAACACCAACATTACATCATCCATGCTGGGCAATACATACTTTTTGAAGAATGTTTTAAATGCTGACATGGGCTATAAGTTTTTGAAGCCCATTAGAGGTACACCAGTATTTTGGCAGGGAGTTCAAAAAGATCTGTTTGCTTACGTTAGACAACTTGGCATTCCTACATGGTTTGCTTCCTTTTCTTCAGCAGATTTAAGATGGCCAGAATTTATGGAAGCTTTTATGGCTATAGAAAACATTCAAGGCAATATTCATGACATGGACTGGGCACAGAAATGTGACTTATTGAAAAACAATCCAGTGACAGCAGCCAGAATGTTTGACTATAGATTTAGATCTTTTTTAAAAGATGTTATCATGTCTCCCGCTCAGCCAATTGGTAAAATCATTGATTATTTTTATAGAGTAGAGTTTCAGCAACGTGGATCATGTCACACTCATTGTCTATTTTGGACCGACGGGCCTAAAATAGGAGTCAACACAGATGCTGAAGTCATAGCTTTTGTAGATAAATATGTTACATGCGACCTCCCACCTGACAGTGATCCTCTCCATGAAGTGGTACATAGTGTTCAAATGCATAGCAAAAAACACTCTAAAAGTTGCAGAAAAAATCACACAACTTGCAGGTTTCACTTTCCCCGACCACCAAGCAACAATACATTCATATGCAAACAGGAAACGGATGTTGACAATAAGGAAAACCCATCTGACAAAACATCTTCAGATTTAAAAAAGGCAGCCAAGCATATCATGACCAAAGTTAAAGAAGCTTTGACCAGTGAAAACAACACATTTAATAGCATAGATGACTTGTTTAATTCCATTGGTATTGACCAGACTACATTTGAAACAGTCTACAAATTGACCTCTTCAAAAACAACTGTCGTCCATAAACGAAACATCAACGACATCTGGGTTAATCAGTATAACACAGACCTGCTACGTTGCTGGAATGCAAACATGGACATCCAGTTTGTCTGTGATGCATATGCATGTATTGTTTATATCATTTCCTACATATCCAAAGCAGAAAGAGAAATGGGTTTGCTATTAAAACATGCACAAAATGAAATCAAACATAATGAAAACCTGGATGCAAAACAAGCGCTTAACAAACTAGGGAATGTGTTTCTGCATAACAGAGAAGTTTCTGCTCAAGAAAGTGTGTATCGGGTAACAAACATGAGATTAAAAGAGGGCTCTAGAAAAGTCACATTTGTTCCAACAGGTGACAACATTGTCAGAATGAGCTTACCTCTTAATGTCATTCAAAACAGTGCTAATGGTAATCAGATCTGGATGACAAACATTACTGATCGATACAAAAGCAGGCCTAAGTCTAGTGAATTTATGGACATGTGCATAGCTACTTTTGCCTTAGAATACAGAAATGTACCAAACAGTGAGAAATCTAGACCAGAAGTGGTTAGTTTATTAAACAACAATGGCTGTGTAAGGAAGCGGACAAGGACAAATGTAGCTGTTGTTAGATATGCTCGTTTTTCTAAAGAACAAGATCCTGAGAAACACTATCAAAGCCAGCTTCAGTTGTTCCTTCCTTATTACACGGAAAACCAGTTAAAACCGTCACAATTTACAACATTTCAAGAGTTTTATGAGACCGGCTCAATCACAAACAGTAGTAAAAACATCCAGTCTGTCAAAGACGTAGTAGAATTCAACAGATCCAAGTTTGAAATCAAAGCAGAAGATTTACAAAACATACAGGAAGATATTGAACACTTTGGATTTCAAGAAGATGTTTGGGCAGAGCTGTGTCCTGAGGCAGAACTAGACCGACTGGAATGTTTGGAAGACAGATCTTTAGATAACAATCCAAATACTGGTGAACAAGAAGTTATTCCAGATCTAGAGCCAATCACAAAACCAGCTTTATCATTTCACATTCAAAAACAGATAGTCTCACACAAGGAAGCACAATCCTTAATGCGTTCTCTAAATCAGCAGCAGAGCAATGTGTTTTATAAAATCCGGCAGTGGTGCTTAGATAAAGTAAACGGTCACAATCCAAGCCCTTTTTATGTTTTCATTTCAGGTGGAGCGGGAACAGGCAAGTCCCATTTGGTAAAAGCTGTGTCCTATGAAACAACCAGAATACTATCCAGATTATCTAATTATCCTGATGATATTCATGTTTTACTGACTGCCCCCACTGGAGTGGCTGCATTAAATATCAATGCCACAACAATACATAATAGCTTTGCAATTGGCAATAATATTTCATTACCATACCAGCCTTTAAGAGAGGAAAAAATAAACACATTAAGAGCAACCCTGAAACATTTACAAATCTTGATAATAGATGAAATCTCAATGGTTGATAATAAGCTATTAACATATATCCATGGTAGACTGCGTCAGATCAAACAGTGTTCAGACTTTTCTTCATTTGGTAATGTCTCCGTCATAGCTGTTGGTGATTTTTATCAGTTGCCACCTGTCAAAGGGACTCCTCTCTACAAGGACCCCATTGGTTCCAATTTGTGGCAAAACAGTTTCAGTCATGTAGAACTCACAGACATATTACGGCAAAAAAACAAAGACTTTGCTGTAACACTTAACCGTTTAAGAAAACACAAAAAAGACCAACCACTTCACCCACAAGACGAAGCACTTCTCAAACGATGTGAAACAGGCATGGGTGAAGACACTGAAATTCTGCATCTTTTTGCAACAAACAGTGATGTTGATAATCATAACTTCAACATGTTGCATAAACAATGTACAGACATTGTACAAATCAAAGCCCAAGATTTCCATAAAAACCCTCAGACTGGCCGTACCACTAGAATACCCTCAACACTTGATTTTGGCAAGAAAACCTATTTAGATAAATTACTAAGTATAGCTCCTAAAGCTCGTGTAATGCTCATTAAAAACATTGATGTTTCTGATGGACTTGTTAATGGTGTGTTTGGTACTGTTTGTCGCATACAATTTCTAAGTAACAATAGCTTCCCACACATCATTTATGTTAACTTTGATAACCCAAGTATAGGCCAACAACTACGACACAAGTTTCCAACTTCAGACACCGATCTGACTAATGCCACACCAATTGGTCCCGATGAAGATAAACTTGAAAAGGGGGTTAGACGTCAATTTCCACTGCGGCTGGCTTGGTCTTGCACCATACATAAAGTCCAAGGCCTAACACTACAGAAAGCAGTAGTCTCTTTTAAAAGGATTTTTTCTGCTGGACAAGCATATGTAGCTTTAAGTCGTGTTACATCACTAGAACACCTCACTATCCAAGATTTTAAAGCTAAAGCAATCTATGCAAGAAGTGATGTGGAAGAAAACTTGAAATTAATGCCAAACTTTATCGACACACCAGTTTCAGTGCCAAACTGCACTTTTAAAGTCTGTCTTCATAATGTGCAAGGTCTCAAGAATCACATACAGGATGTCAAGAGCAACCAAAAACTACTCACAGCCGATATAATTTGTCTGACAGAAACTTGGTTAAAAGAAACACATCCCCCTGAAAGCATTTCACTGCCAGGTTGGACTTTTCACCACAAAACAAGATCAGACTCATATGATGAAACTGGACTATTTTCTACTTTCAGAAGCAAAAATGGTGGTGGTGTTGGTTTCTATCACAAAAACAGCATTATGTGTAAAAGTATGGCTTTCAATTGCAACAACCTGGAAGCTTTGCTTTTTAGCACACAGACTTTAAACCATCATTATATGCTGTTGTACAAACCACCATCATATAACCTTCAGAAATTCAAAGACAATCTAAAACCTGTACTGCATTATTTCAATGAATGTCCAGGAACCAAAATAGTCATGGGTGACATGAATGACGATGCACTGGTTTCTAATTCATTTGTCAGCTTCATGAAATTGCAAGGATACACTCAAATAGTAACAAGTCCAACAACCGAAAACAATACTCTAATTGATCATGTTTACATCAAAGACATTGATCCCAAAACCGTACATGTAGAAGTTATTCCCACCTATTACAGTTACCATGAATGTATTCAAATATCATTCTTGACAAGAACAGACACAGACATACAGTTACAGGAACTGGGGACAGACAGACAGGGACTGCAGGACAAATTGCCTCAAGGGGAAAGACAGACAATCACAGATAGATGGACAGGTGGACACCAGAGCTGACCATAACAAATTACACATAGAGGTCCGTTTCATTCATACAAAATCAATGTTGCTTCAAAATCATCTAAAGTTATTTGGACTCATATACATATATACCATACCATACCTTACCATTTAATGTACATAAAGCATGTGAAATACACTTTTTATTCATAAAAAAGTGTATGACAGTATCACACTTACTTGTGGTTTTGATAATGGACACTTGAAATGTTACTTTGTGTTGTGCCATCACTGTTTCAATGTATAAAAATGTATCCATTTAGATATTCACAAATTCACTTATTCTAGTACTATTTTTATTTTCCTTTGTTAAAGACTTCATTTTACAGCACTCTTCTTTTTTTCAATCTCCACTAGGAACAATCACCCACCAGATGAAATTCCTGAAACAACACAACTGAAATCTGCCGAATCAGCAACCATCATGTGACCACGCCGCCTGCCTGTCGTCCTGTTTGCTTCCCAGCCTGCCTAACTACCAGCCTCTGGACCTGCATCATATCCTGCCTCGCAACCTGTTTCCTCATCCCATCCTGGATCCTCATTCCCTGCTGCTTGTCTGTCCCTACCTGGCCCCAAAGCCCCAGCCCTGCCTCACCAAGACCGATCATCTCCAGTAAGAATAGTTCTCCAAACAATTCCAGTTCTGGTTCTCTGGTTCCAGAGTTTCGTGATTCTAACACCAGTTTACTTTCCCGTTCTAGATCTTGATCCCTCCTATTCCAGTTTGGAGCACCGTTTTCAGTTTCACATTGTTCTTAATAAATATTATTTGTTATTCACTTGCCATAGTTTCCATCTGTGATTTTTTTCATGTCCTGGGTAAAACATTCCCAACATGACACTTTGCCTCAGAATGCCCTTCTGCCACTTTGCTATACATTGTGTAACACATCATTTGTACATTTACATATGTAGATAACAATAAAGTGTTTTCTGTACTCTTGAATCAATATAATTTCTGGTATCCTAATTTCAATGCATAGTGTTGTAAAAATATTGTTTCCTCTACAAAGTCTCCCCCACAATTGGCAAAATTTGACATACAATAAACTGCTGTTTTTTAATTCAATTGTTTGAATAATGTACCATCATTTTTACCTACATCTTTGTACCTACAAAATGAAGTGTTTCATTGAATTTTGGGCAATTTCGTGCTCATAATAAATGTCTACTTGTTTTATTTTGACCAAATGTCTACTCGTTTTATTTTGACCAGAGATAACTATGTGATTTTAACCATGGCTGGATAAAAAGGTTACAAGAATGTGCAGGGCAAGGGGCCACTGGCACAAATTGCAGGAAATCTTTAGATTAAATATGGATTTTATTCAGTTTTGTTTCATTCAGTTCAATTATCAATCTCCATATATCGTCTTATTGAAAAAAAAATATTTAAAAACTATAAAATAACAAAACTTGACCCATGATGATTTTCAAAAAACATTGGAGGATTTCCTATGAAAATAATACATTTTTAATACATTTACTAAACATCGTCAGTAATATTGAAATGGTAAATGTTTTGGATTTGTATAGCGCCTTAGTCCCTTAACAACACAATCAGTCTTTCACCCATTCACACACACAGTCACACACTACTGGGAATGAGCTACAATGTAGCCACAGCTTCCCTGAAGCACACTGACAGAGGTGAGGCCTGCCGAAAACTGACACCACCGGCCCCTCCCAGCACCAGCAGCCAAGGTGTCTTGTCCAAAGACACAACAACTGCATTCTCTGGTCAGACTTGGAATCAAATCCAAAACCTTCCAATTAATGGAAATTTCACTCCGTTTCCTGAACTTCTGCTGTCCAAAACAGCACATGACTTACCAGGCCTGCAGGAGTCTGCATTCAGCCATTCACACACACAGTCACATGCTGGTATGTGTTTAGGCTAAGCAAAAGGTTTCATGACAAATCCTGAATAATACTTTCATTGCGCCGGTTGAAGTGAGCTGACGGGACGCCGGCGGGAGAACATGTTTTTGGGGCGGGACCGCGTGAGGAATGGCGAAGGTGAGGGCGGGGCCGGGTGGGCGACTGGCGCTGGGGGCTTGGAACCCGTTGATAACTGCTTGCAGTTCTAGTTTATTATTATTCTTCTCCGCTAAAACTATATGGGCGCAAGAGCCTGAAATTGTCAGGGAAAATCTGACATGGCAGTCTGATAGAAAATCCTGACCGCTACTCAGATTCAAAAATTTGGACCCCGCGTCACCTAGGTGGCGCTATTGCGGAGGTCAACACGTTTCAGCTACTAGCTCCCAAACCGTAGGTCCTACAGTCAAAAACTTTATATGTACATGATCCTTGGATGATTCCCCATCTTTTTTGTATTGGCCACGCCCATTTCCGCCTAACTAGATTTTTTGCTAGATCGCAAAAAATGCAAAGCTTAGTTTTAATCACCTATTCGTCATTTTTCGTCGAATCAACTTCAAACTTCGTACATATGATCTATGGACTAAGATAAGTTGTTGTGATGCAGAAAAACGCAGAAATATTGAAAATTGGGCTAATGACACCATGTCAAAATCAGTGCGCTTGCTAGCACATGTGCTAATTGATGATATCTTCACCATATCTCAAGATAAAGTGATGAGACTCTAGACCCTTATGAAGTATGAGCGGTAAGCCCTACCTTCCCCATTTTGTTTGGATTCACCAAAAGGGGGCGCTAAAGAGTCAAAAAGTTAGTTTGAGCTAAACGGCTTGATGGATTTCCACAGAACTTGGCACATATGTTAATCATTGGACCCTTAAGCTATATTTTGAAAATGATTAAAAAGTGGGCGTGGCTTATAGGCTTTAAAATTTTTTGCCCTTTAACTGATGAAAAATACATATTCTATACAGAAAGTTACAAATTATATCAGTCATAGTGACATCTACAATCACAGAAAAAAGTTTGAAGTTTGTCCAATAGTTGGCGCTGTTGTACCCCAAAAATGTTTTTGGCATTTTTCTCCTCAATATTTTAGTAAACAAGCAAATGGTCTCATCCAGTATGTTCATTGACTCAGTCAAATTAAGATGAGTATTTTAAAAAATGTTTTAAACTTATGCTAATTAGTAGAAATTTGCATAGTAAGTCAAACGTACTTTCGTTAACTCCTCCCGGCCGTCAAACCCAATCACATCACAACTTTGCCTGACAAGAGAGGAGGAGCGGCTGACCAAACGATCTGAAGGGATTTTGGATAATTTTCTTACTTTTTTAAATATGAATTTTTTAAATATTTTGTGGGGAATGAAAAAGTTTTTTTAGCACAACTTCAAAATATTTGGACATTTTTCAAAGCTGTTCATAACAGTCAAACCTAAGGTCAATTCAAGTGTATGTCTTGATTTTCACCTTGATTAAACAATAGGGGGCGCTATAAATAGCAATACATTATACTGCTGACCTGGTTAAATGGATCTGCACGAAACTTAGTGGTTGTCATCATTGTAGAGTCTTAAGACTACATTATCAATATGGTAATGATTGATCAATGTGGGCGTGGTTTATGATCATTTAAAATTTCAAATTTGAAAAATTTCCTAAAAATCATTATTTTCATGTAAGAAGCTACGTTTTCCAGATTATGTTAACTGGATAGCCATGAGCTTAGATATTGAAAACCGCAGCTCCACGAAGATGTTTGCGCTTTAAATTTACAAAAATACATTTTTAGGCTAGCAATTGTAGCGCAAATTCTGTTTTCACAATCTTCTTGACATTTGCCATAAAGTTCACTCTTAGGTGGTTTATGAAACAAAAAAAAATGTCGTCTTGATTTGAGCTCCCCCTTGTGTTTAATTATAGGACATATTTTTGTCTACAGCAACTAACGCAAATATTATTTTATTGTAGGTACAATTTTACATTTATGACCCCAACAAAAATATAAAAAGAATTCTCACATCACAGAGGCAATCTCGGAATATTTTGAGATTTTTGTACGAAAGCATTGATTTTTAATGATTTTTTAACTTTTTGCCAGTTTTTCTGTATAGTTGGACAACAACGTAATTAATTTTTGTTAGAAAGTTTTTTAGGTATACAGTAAATATAAACCAATTACAACATTCAACATGTACCTATGGTGATCTGAGATTTTTCTATAAATTTTAGAAAGTAGCACTATTTTTTTATGAATATTTTAATTTTGACTGTGACCCTTACAGTTATATTTACTGATTTTTCTTCAAAAAAGCTTTGAGTCAACTGATTTAAAAACAACATCATATTATTCCGCATGTTAACACTGCCATGTGAGAATATTTTGGTAATTTTATGATGATTTATGTATTTTTCATGATTTTTTAAAACAATTGATCAGTAAGTCACAAAATGAAACTCATTGTTTTTGTTGAAAATCTATTAAATCTAAAGACATTATCAAGTCTTTATGTTATTTGTAATATTCTGTTGATGTATAGATTATTGTTTGATAATCTCACTCATTAAATCTTCACGTTCTTTAATAAGGAAACAGTGGAATTCCATTGTAATCACGATTGAGAAGTCAGCCATGCCTCTGAAAGATGTGTATAGGCTTTGCAGGTTTAATGACGTATCCTGAGTGTTACTTTCATTGCGCCGGTTGAAGTGAGCTGACGGGACGCCGGCGGGAGAACGTGTTTTTGGGGCGGGACCGCGTGAGGACCGGCGAAGTTGAGGGCGGGGCGGGTGGGCGACTGGCGCTGGGGGCTTGGAACCCGTTGATAACTGCTTGCAGTTCTAGTTAGGGTTCCAAGCCCAAAGGGCAGGGAACCCTATTGTTTTTCTACGGATTTTTCATTATTATTTATTATTATTTATTATTATTCTTCTCCGCTTGAAATGTATGGGGGCAGGAGCCTGAAATTGCCAGGGAAAATCTGACATGGCAGTCTGATAGAAAATCCTGACCGCTACTCAGATTCGAAAATTTGGACCCCGAGTCACCTAGGTGGCGCTATTGCAGAGGTCAACACGTTTCAGCTACTAGCTCCCAAACCGTAGGTCCTACAGTCAAAAAGTTTATATGTACATGATCCTTGGATGATTCTCCATCTTTTTTGTATTGGCCACGCCCATTTCCGCCTAACTAGATTTTTTGCTAGATCGCAAAAAACGCAAAACTTACTTTTAATCACCTATTCGTCATTTTTCGTCGAATCAACTTCAAACTTCGTACATGTGATCTATGGACTAAGGTAAGTTGTTGTGGTGAAGAAAAATGCAGAAATATTGAAAATTGGGCTAATGACACCATGTCAAAATCAGTGCGCTAGCTAGCACATGTGGTAATTGATGATATCTTGACCATTTCTCAAGATAAATTGATGAGACTCTAGACCCTTATGAAGTATGAGCGGTAAGCCCTACCTACCCCATTTTGTTTGGATTCACCAATAGGGGGCGCTAAAGAGTCAAAAAGTTTGTTTCAGCTAAACGGCTTGATGGATTTCCACAGAACTTGGCATATATGTTAATCATCGGACCCTTAAGCTATATTTTGAAAATGATTAAAAAGTGGGCGTGGCTTATAGGCTTTAAAAATTTACGCCCTTTTACTCATGAAAAATACATATTCTATACAGAAAATTACAATTCATATCAGTCATAGTGACATCTACAATCACAGAAATTTTTTTTGAATTTTGTCCAATAGGTGGCGCTGTGGTACCCCAAAAATATTTTTGGCATGGTTCTCCCCATTTCTTTCGTAAAAAAACAAATGATGTCATCCAGTGTGTTCATTGAGTCAGTCAAATTTAGATGAGTATTTTAAAAAATGTTTTAAACTTATGCAAATTAGTAGAAATTTGCATAGTAAGTCCAACGTACTTTCGTTAACTCCTCCCGGCCGTCAAACTCAATCACATCACAACTTTCCCTGACAAGAGAGGAGGAGCGGCTGACCAAAAGATGTGAAGGGATTTTGGATAATTTGCTTATTTTTTTTAATATGATTTTTTAAAATAATTTTTTGGGAATGAAAAAGTTTTTTTAGCGTAACTTCAAAAGACTTTGACATTTTTCAAAGCTGTTCATAACAATCATACCTAAGGTCAATTCAAGTGTATGTCCTGGTT